CCCACTCTGTCTCTGGTGAATCCTTTCACCGCCCCTGAACCTCTGGCCTGTACCCCAGTCCTGTATGCATACATAAATAATCATTCTTTTTTAAGAAGGTTAAATGATGGAAAACGATCAAACTAAAATAGGTAAAAGAGACACATTAAGTCATTATGACTAACGGGACAATATATCCAGAAGACATAACACTCATCAACACATACTCACCCTCTTAATTCTCAGGATAGAAAGAACATAACATAATAAAGGCCATATATGACAAACCTATAGTCATTATCATTTTCAATGGTGAAAAGCCTTTCCCTGAAGCCCTGGAACAAGATAAGGATGTCCACTCTCATACTGCTTTTCAATATAATACTGGAAGTCTTAGCCAGAGAATAAAACAAAAGAAAGACATGAAGTAATCCAAATAGAGAAAGAAGTAAAACTATCATTATTTGCAGATAATATGATAATATACATAAAGAACCCCCCAAAACTCCACATCGAAATAATTAACTCTTTTAGTAAAGTGGCAGGATACAAAATTAACACACAAAAACAGTAGCTTTCCTCTATGCAAACATTGTCTGAAGAAGAAATATTACTTAAAGAAAACAACCCCTTTTATAATTGAAACAAACAAATAAGCCTAACAAAAGAGGAAGGATCTATACAGAGAATATTATAAAACATTTTAAAAAGAAATAGAAGAAGACATACTAACAAAAAAATAGAAATACACTTCCTGCTCATGGTTTGAAAGAATTAACATTATCAAAATGGCCATTTACAGATTCAATGCTATTCCAATAAAAATTTCAGTGACACTCTTCAAATAAATAGAACAAATATGGATGAAATTTATATGGAAACAAACAAACAAAAAACTCAAATAGCTAGGCCCTCCCTGGTGGCGCAGTGGGTTAAAGTACAGCACTGAGAAGCTAAAGCTGCTTCCACATGAGTTCGATCCCCGCTTGCCCCGGAGGTGACCACATGGCGTGGCAGACCTCTCCTGACCCGCCCGCGGCTCCCCTCAGCAGTGTATTTCGTCGATCTGCCTATTCTGCTCCCCACTCTGTCTCTGGTGAAGCCTCTCGCCACCCCTGAGCTTCTGGCCTGTACCCAAGTTCTGTATGCACAAATAAATAAATCTTAAAAAAAAAAAAAACTCAAATAGCTAACCTCTCCTGACTAAAAAGAAGGGATGTGGAGATGTCAAACGTCCAGACTTCAAGCTGCACTACTGTTTAAAGTAGCAATTCTACTACCACTCATTCTTCCTATTGATTTTATTTCACTTTATTTTTCTGTATAGATTTTATTCTATTGACATAGATCTTGACTTATTTCGGCACTCCCGCCATAAAGAAGAATAAAGAAGTTAGAATAATAGAACAGAATAGAGAAGCTAATAATGCCATCTGACTATTTTGTCAGTTGTACGATTCATTCTTAATTGTCATATGTATTTTGAATTAATGAATATAAGCCTGTAGATGCGGGAAATTTGTCTAGTGAATATCCCAAGTGCCTAGAAAGTGTCTGGCACATGGTAGATGCTTAATAAAGATTTACTGAGTGAAGGAATGAGTAACTCTCTCTTAAAATTCTAGCTCTATGGCCCTCCCTGGTGGCGCAGTGGGTTAAACACAGCACTGAGAAGCTAAAGCCACTTCTGCATGAGTTCGATACCCACCTGCCCCGGAGGTGACCCACATGGTGCGGCAGACCTCTCCTGACCCGCCCACTGCTCCCCTCAGCAGTGTACTTTGTAGATCTGCCTGTTCTGCTCCCCACTCTGTCTCTGGTGAAGCCTCTCGCCACCCCTGAGCCTCTGGCCTGTACCCCAGTTCTGTATGTACAAATAAATATTAAAAAAAAAAATTCTAGCTCTACACCCAGAATTTCAGATAGTACACAACAAATTAGGGCTGTCTTTCCTCATAATGACTCCTGCATATACAATTTTCATAAAATACTATTAGAAGATAGAAGTAGTCAACTGCCTTCCAGCTAACCTTGTACCAGTTTAGAAAAACTGACCTCCCTCCTCATTACCATGACCCAGTGCCACTTACTGCTTTATGTGGCAGTATCGCCAGTTCCTGTTGAAGCTGAAGATGGTGGCCATCTCCTCATCACTCAGTTGAAAGTCAAAAACCTGGAAAAGCAAGTATCCCAAACATGATCTCCAGCCACTCTGGCTCTGAGAGAGGTTACCTCCATGGTACCACTGGCCACACATGTTCCTCTCATTCTATCCACGGGATATGAACTTGGCTCTACGCCAGGTCTTACATAGAGAGTGCAGCATTTATTGGGTCTAGGAGGACAAGTTAGGAAGCATTATGTTGGGTATGCACATGAATGCTCCCCAGTGGACTATGGGTTCTTCCAGAAAGACAAGTCTTCAAGTATGGCTCACACCTCCCCTGATACTTGGAGTGGAGTGTTTGGGCCAGGACAGTTGGCTCTTGGGTATGGCCATGGCCCAAGTGATCAACACAATCACAGTTCTTCTCTCTGGTAGTGAGAGGCGCAGCTGTGCTCAGACTGTCAGACATCACTGGTTGCCCCCCACCCAGCACATCTTTGGCCCACATGTCAACCAGCTCAGCTCTCAGCTCTCTGGAGGTCAGTTCCCTGCCTGAGAGGGGACAGACTGGCAGGGATGGGGGGGGGAACACACAGACAGCACAGGGCTGGGATGAGAGGCCTAAGGAGAGATTCCCATCTCCACTGAGGAAAATCAGGGCCAGGATCTTACATTAAAGTTCTCAATGATGCGTGTCGGGGTCACAGACTTGGGGATCGTGGCCACATTCCTCTGGATGAGGAACCGGATCAGAATCTGCATAGAAAGAGACATTGTGTTTGCACTTATCCAAGCACCCCCTTCTCCTGAAAGAAATGACTATATCTTTAGGTACAATGGCCAACAATGATTAAGCCCTTCATGACATCCTGATGCATGCTTGTCCTCCAATCTGTATCTCCCTTAATCCTTACAACAATCCTATGGTTTTCCTATTTAAAAACAAAAACAAAAACAAAAAAAAAACAAGGAAAGTTACTTGGGGTAGTGTTTGAGACATAAGGCTGGCAAACAGCGAAGGTTTTTCTCTGCTCCAAAATCCTGCACTTATTGCTGAAGTAGGGCTCAGCAGGAAGTTGCCAAGACAATGCTATCTATGTTTCAAACAAAACACCAACGGTATTTCCTGGGGGTCCAAACAGTGGGCTTCCTTTCTCAATTTCTTCTTCAAGGGGTTAAAAACAAGGAGTGAAATATAAGACTGATTTGCTGGTGCTAAAAATCCAACCCACCAAGCAAACAAGAAAGCATGTTGTTGTACCTGGGCTGTGGTCCTTTTGTGCTTTACAGCAATCTCCTTAATCTTGGGGTCCTCCAGTAGGGAAGGGTCATCTGACTTGGCCCTGGGGGTAGAAAGATGGCTGATGTAGATGATCACCATGGCTAATGATGAGGAAAGGACAGAAAAGTGGGAAAGGAGGTGCCACAAGACCAGAGACCTGGTTCTGGTGAAAACTTTTTAGAGTGAACCCCAAGACCCCACTCTTTGATCTCAACAATTCCACAAACAACTTTGTCTACCATGGGTGGGAATATTGCAACAGTGACTGTCCGTCTTCATGTGGGAGACCTGAAAACTTTGTGTCTTACCTTTGTACCCACCCTACATTTGACACAGGCTCGTCCAATGTTGGCAGCAGAACAGGAGTATTCTCAGAACATTAGGCTTTTTAAAAAAAATCCCATCCCCCAGCTCCCACTGTTTATATGAGCCAGACACACTGCCTTAGACATTTTCCTTTTTGAAGACTTAGAGTCTCATACCAACATTAACTAAATCGAAAAGAATTCTTTAAGAGTATCAAAGATCTCTCAGAAGCCTTACCAAGGTCTCTCTGGAGATCCCAGCGGACTATACGCAGTGACAGTGATGCCCTTAGAATGACAGTACTGGATCAGTTTCTCCTGTGTGAGGTATGGGTGGCACTCGACCTGCAAGAGCAAACCATCCCCATCAGAGGGAAGCAAACCTGCTCTGAAGTGCTCAGAGGGAGAGTTCTCCACATGGAAAAGATGGCAAAGCAAAGGCCAAATACCACCCAATGCCAGTCAAAGCAGATCCCAAGACCCAGCTCACAAAGAGTCTTAGTAACTGTCCATGAGACACAGCACAGGACATTGACTTGCTTTGGATGTTTGAGAAGTAATGGGATTAGACCCTTAACCTTTGCTGAACAGAATTTACCTGGTTAGTCACAGGCTTGTGTTTCAGTCCAGGTTTGTTCAAGATTCTTTCGATTTGCAGGTGGTTAAAGTTGGAGACCCCAATGGCTTTCACCAGCCCCTCATCCACGAGCTCTTCCATGACCTGTGGTAGAAAGGAACACTATTGGGGGCCCTCCCTGGTGGGGCAAGGGGTGAATGTGCAGCACTACGAAGCTGTCCACAGCCACTGCAGCACAGAGTTCAATCCTCAGCTGAAGTGACCCACATGACACAGCGGACCTCCCCTGCCTCACCCATTATTCCCCTTAGTGTATTTCAGTAGATCTGCCTGTTCTGTTTCCTACTGCCTCTGGTGAATCCTCTCACCCCCTGAACCTCTGGCCTGTACCCTAGTTCTTACAGGGACTCTGACTCAGATGGGTCCTCTCCTTGGGAGAGGAGAAACATGAAAAGGAAATTCCAATTCAGGCCGTGGATGCCCATTAAAGGGTAGTTCAAGTCCACCACCCACCATGAAACTAGCAAATAAAAGTGAAGACTTTAGGGCCTTCCCTGGTGGCACAGCAGGTTAAAGCACAGCACTGAGAAGCTAAAACCACTTCCGCATGAGTTCAATTCCCGCCTGCCCAGGAGGTGACCACATGGCGCGGCAGACCTCTCCTGACCCGCCCTCTGCTCCCCTCAGCAATATACTTCATCAGTCGGCCTGTTCTGCTCCCCACTCTGTCTCTGGTGAATCTTCTCACCGCCTCTGCACTTTTGGCCTATACTGCAGTTCTGTATGCATAAATAAATAAATCTTAAAAAAAAAAAGTGAAGACTTTATAGGCTTGTTTTCCCCTCACCCAAACCTCGGTGACCTGGGTTAGCTCCAGAAAAGGCCACAGCATGTGAAGAAGCATTACTTGTGTGGGTCCTGGGCCACTCTGTCCTATAGGAATCATAGGTTGGTTTGCAGTAGTATCAAAGTCACTAGGGAAGGACAAGCAGAATTGCCCTGGCAGAGGCACCCATGCCAGCAGGTGGCTGAAGTTTAGTGACTACTCAATTACCAAACCAACATCCCTAGTGCAGAACTGCGCCGACCTAAGGGACAGGTATCTTTTCATAAGTTTTAACCTCAAGCAATGTTTTTCTGCATTTGCCCAACAATATCACCTGGGTTGATCAGCAGCCCCAAATTCTTCATGTCCAGACCCTGCCCAGAGCCTTCAAGATATAGTTGTAAACAATGTGTTTCCATCTACTGAGAATCCAATGAAAATCTGGGTTTCCTTTTGGAGAACAGTCACTACACTAAGGTGTCTCAGGTAATTCCACATGAGCATGGTGCTGAGATTCAGGAAGGCCAGAGAAGGAAGGGTCACAGCTGTCTGGGAGACTTTATAGGTGAAGTTTAAACAGGGACTTCAGTAATTTGGTAAGAAGAAATTAAAAAAAACAGCTAGTGTGGGAAGAAAGATGTAGCAATTGCCTCGGGAAAAGCACCAGTGTGAAGTGTTGAGTGGATACTTCTTCCAATGGTTCTCAAACTTGAATGCAATTTAGAATCACCTGAGAGCTTCAAAATACACTGAGATTTGGATCTAACCTTCTACCCCAGAGAGATTATGTTGTTCTGGGGTGTAGCCTTGGCTTGGAGATAATTTTTTTTATCAAATCAGGTGATTTTAAGGCCTAGTCAGTGCTGAGAACCACCAGCATGGATGATGTAAGGCTTCACAGTGGGCAAAGTTTAGAAATGATGAGATCATTGGCCTGAAATGAAATGCCCACTTCACCAAAAGAGGATAAAAGTTTCTGTGCGTCCTGGATATGGTGTAGTTTGGGTGTGTGATGCATCTTGAAGTCTTTCCTCCTTGCTATTGTAGGACAGTCAAGGTTTCTGCTGACCTGGTTGTAATTCCACAGGAACATCTCCACTTACATGTTCAATCCTGTCTCTGATGCTGATCATCCAAACCTTTTAAAGCCTTCCAAATCTCTTATTAAGCATTTTCTCTCAAACCCTTTCAAATGATAAAGAAAGCACTGTGAAAATCAGTGTGCTTTTTGCAGAGAGCAAAGACATAATAACCATAGTTAACCCCATCATAAGAGCTAGCGTGAAAAAATATCATGGAAGCCACCATAGACATACGTATGCTGGTCTTCACATTTCACAAAGCATAATTCCTGAGATATTTAAGAGGTCTTGTCTTACAAGGGCAATAAACATAACAGAGCTCTCTCATCAAATTTAATGCAAAAGTTGAATCTGCTGAAATCTTAGGCGATATGGGCTATATTACAGGTTTTGCCACAACTTTAATTCTCAGGAATATGTGAAACAGTCACTGGGTTGAGTCCATATCCATACATAAATCATTATATTGCTCATTAATTCATCACTCCTGAGATTTTTCTCTAGTAGGAGGCCATATGTTGACCTTCTACAGTTGAGTACTAGAATTCAAGTTTCCTCTTATGGCTACCATTTTGGTACCAACAAGGGAAGGCAATAACTTCTGTTGAAGAGTCGGGCATAATAATTATTGTAGTGAATATATCAAGCAAGTACTTAAGATTATGTAGTTGGATAATGAATGACTTGTGTGGTCATTGAAACACAGAATATATAAATCTATAAAAAATATAATTTTCAGCTGTATTTTGAATCCTCTTTCTAGTACATAGGTTTAACCAAACTCATGACTTGTACAGCAGTGATGGTCTGTGATATTTTACCAAGAACTTATATATAATTATACAATGAACTTATATATAATTATACAATTAACATAGTGGAATATATGACAGATATATAGCTTAAGATTTCCCCAAGAGTATTTGATGTATTTCTATGTACAAACTCTCACTCATGAGCTATATTTCTAATAAGTTATTACTTAGTAAACATTGAACACTGCTCTTTTATTGCTGCTAATTTGACCTGTAGAATAAGACAAGATCTCTTAAATATCTCAGGAATTATGCTTTGTGAAATATGAAGACTAGCATACATCTATGGTGGCCTCCATGGTATTTTTTCACACTAGCTCTTATGATGGGTTAACTATGGTTATTATGTACTTGCAAATGACATAGCCTTGTAGAGCAAATCCAGTGATAACATTGAGGGTCTTTATCAGGACTGTAGTGTTTGGGATTTATTTATTTATTTTTTTTTTTGCGTTTTCATAGAACACAGACCGCCTCATAGCAGTTTACACATTACCCATAGAAATCCAGATAACTTTCTCCATCCTTCCTTTTAAGAGGCTTCTGTTGCTACTAACAAGTTTAGTGATCTACCTGCCAAAGGTAATTCCCTTCAAACACTGCTAATGTCACCATTATGAAATGATTGTTTTTTGCCTTTCCCTCAGTTAGCAAATCAACTTTACTATCTAAATTTTCTTTCTATCTAAATTTCTTTAAAAATTTCAAAACAGCAAGAGTGTTGTATATACAGAGAAGTACCTTTGGACAAGGCCAAGAAAATTACATTTAATTTAATTATATTAATGGTAAGCTCTTCAGGTAGTAAAGACTTAATATACTTTCAAGTTGTAAAACAATATAAACCCATAACTGCAACCACAGTGAACCTCAACTTGGCAAAATGCCTTTCACTCTTGGACTTATCACTATTCATTTATAATTTTCATTTACTTTGTTCTCTACCAGTATTTATACCTGGATATAGGGATTTCAGAAAAAAATTAATCTGAGAAAGACCTTCATGCCTTAATTCAATTTAGAATAGGAATTCTACAGAATGGGTTATTACTAAATCTGGATCTAGTTCATACCCTCTGGGATATGAACTAGTGAATTCACTGCGTACCAAGTACCATGATAAGGATTTGAGTGACTTGGTGATTAGACTTTTGTGATGAATAGACCTAGACCCAATCCCAGGTCTGCCACAAAGTTAATGCATGACCAGAAAAAGTCAGCAGCCTCTCTAGATCTCAATTTCCTTATTTGTAAATGGGGATGGTAATGGTGCAGGCTTTGTAGAACTGGATGACTAAAACGGCTTCATTACTAAAATAATCCATGGCACAGATAACTTTAGATGTTATTTCCTTTAATCTTTAAATGACCACGTCTTAAATGCTATTGCTTTGTAGCATTATAAGGTCTTTTTTTTTTTAATTAAGTTGAACCTAGGTGTCAAGAAATTAAATAACACTTATGTCACTCAGCTAATAAAAAATACAAAGATCCTGGGCCCTCTCTGGTGGTGTAACGGGTTAAACTGCAGCACTATGAAGCTATCCACAGCTACTGCAGTATGAGTTCGATCCCTAGCCAGGGAGCTGACCCACATGGCATGACAGACCAGTTCTGACGCGCCTGCTGGTCCCCTCGGCAGTGTGTTTCAGTGAATCTGCCTGTTCTCCTCCCGACACTGTCTCTGATGAATCCTCTTACCACCACTGCACCTCTGGCCTGTACCCCAGTTCTTATATGCATAAATAAATAAATCTTAAAAAAAAAACAACACAGATCTAGGGCAATCCCTATCTTCCATATCTCTCCCCTAGGCTTCACAACAGCATTTATCTTTCAAATTGAGATAGATTATATTCCCAGTCTCATGAGGAGTCAGTCTGAACCTTTGAAAATAATGTAATTAAATAGCATCAAGTACCTGGGCTTGTTCTCACTGGTGTACACCCTTGGGGATGGCTGGGGAAATTTTTCACCCCCAGCACAACTAGAAGATGGAACCTACCTCCCAGGCATCCAAGAAGGTGGCTTTCCCAGGGAGAGCATTGCCTTTATCATCTTTGGGGAAAAATTCCTTCCCAGCCTGTAAATGCAGGACAAAATGTTTAGTACATTACACATCTGAACACATGGTTCTGCAAAATGAGGTTTCAGGACCTAGACCATGCTAAAGAACCACATTCACATATGATTTTATCCAGCTCTAGTGTATAAACTTAAGTTTAATATATATGTGTGTGTGTGTGTGTATACATACATACATACATACATATATACACATATATATATAAATCTAATCTACCAGCTCTAGCGTACTAATCTATAAAAATTCATGTAATTTAGAAACTGATGGATTGACTTTGAAATCTACTGTTAGCCGCTCCAAAAGCCACCATCACCAACATGGGCATTCGTTTCATATATCCTGACCCCATGTACACTGAGGAAACCTTTAATTTCTGAACTACCAAGTAAGTCTTCACTTCCAAAGGAGTGAATTACTAGCGAAGTTATCTGCCAACTTTTATTCTTGCAGTGCCAAGAACCTTGGAATTGAGAATAGCCTGCCATCATCATCTCACTGGTCAGGAGGTGAGAAAGCTGGGTTTTTTTCTCCCCCACTTCCATCCCCACCCCCATCCCCACCCCCAACATGTCTCAGAAGCAGCAGGAATGGAGCCCCCCAAGCCAGGAGTGTAGTGTCTTTGCCTCCACACTTGGGCTTTCTTCTAAGAAGGCACTCCCAGGGTGTGCTTTTGTTAGCAAAACACTAGTCTTTTCTAAAATGTCATTATGTAAGAATTCCTCTGGGAGGAGACCCTTTGACATGGAATCAGGATAAAGGTGTAGGGAGGTTGCAGCTTGCCTGGGCTGTGAGGAGTCATAGTTTCTCTCAGAAAAATCTAGAAAAAAAATCTAGGCATGTGGACATCTCAACAGCTACATATGGGTGCTGTGTCCCTTCCAGAGCAATATCTTTGTGCTCCATTGCCTCCTTCAGACAACCTACAGTTTAAGTCTCCAGGGGCAAGACTTGTTTCAGCCCACCCCCACTCCAGTCATGGTCCCATACTACATTCCAACATCTGCTTGGGAAGTGAATATTGGGACAGGGTGTAGCTCCAACCTGTAGTCCCTGAGGCCAGTGAATAAGGTAGATGTCCAGATAATCCAGTTTCAGATCCTGGAGGGTCTTCTGACAGGCTTTCTTCACGAGTGGTCTCTCAAAGAAGGTGGGCCAAAGCTACAAAGCATGACAGTGAGGCATCAAGACCAAGGAAGTTCTCCTTGTTTGTCTCCCTGCTGTTTGGCTGAGAGCCTGAATTACTAATGGGAGGCAAAGACCATGTATAGCAAGGTTGGTTGAGATACAAGATTCAGGTCTGCAAGATCACCTGGTGCTCAGCCAGCCAAAGATGTTTTTTAAGTGTAGAAGGCAAGGTATTTTCAACTCTTTCTGGCGTACTATTCAGCCGAGCACATCTGTGCACTGCTTCAAGATCTGTTATCTGTTTATGTAGTATTTCCTTCCCTGCTGTCGGCTCTCAGAGGGCAAGAACTGTGTCTAGTTTATAAATCCCAAAATCTTTACGCTTGCACATCCCCAAATGATCCTCTGCTTGCAATCCCACATCCCCAAACCCAAGTGATGACTCGCTAAGGAGTTTATCCAGACTCCTCTGCTGCAATAAGTGAGGCCTATTTGCTCCATCAGACACATGAATTCTCCATATATCTGTAACTAGTGATTTTTAGCAAGGTGAGTATAATTCTCAGTCTGCTCACCCAAACATCCTTTTTTACTTACACAAAACATTATTTGTGGGCCCTCCATGGTGGTACAATGGGTTAAAACACAGCACTACGAAGCTAGCTGCAGTCACTTCAACACAAATTCAATCTCCACCAGTGAGGTGACCCACATGGCGCAGCAGACCTCTTCTGACCCGCCTGCTGCTCCCCGCAGCAGTGTACTTCATTAATCTGCCTGTTCTGCTCCCCCCTCTGTCTCTAGTGAATCCTCTCACCACCCCACACCTCTAACCTGTACCTCAGCCTGTATGCATAAATAAATAAATCTTTTTTAAAAAAACATTATTTGTAACTGATCCTATACTACACAGAATTGAATGAAAGTCATGACAATAAAAAATGGTCCCATCATTTTCCAGAATAACCCCTGAATGAGAACCTCTGGGCCTTCCACTGAGAACACAGTACTAAAATGTGGGGCTTGGACCATCCTGGGCTGTAACTTAAGTTTTTGAATTGTTATGGGATGGATGGGCCCCACTTATGGGGAGCAGTGTCAAGGGCACCATCGTGGCTCGACAGAGCCATCCCAAATGGAGTAAAACCAACTGCAGGTGGGCAGGGTGCAATAGTATCTCCACATACCAATGACCTGAAGAGGATACACTTCTATCTAAAGATGTTGTTAGGCAGCAATGAAGAGGGGAAAATGAGAGTAGGTTGGCAGAATTCGGGGTGCTTCTGGCAGAATTCCCAGTACTTTTGCCTACTTTGAAGTACAATCCTCTCACCAAAGGAGTCCTACACACCTTGCTAACGATGAAGAGGTCCTCCCTCTTCACCGCCTTCTCTTGAATCTTCTCCTGGATGGCCTCCCCCACCTCATTCTCGTTCTCATAGATGTAGGCGCAGTCGATGTGGCGATATCCTGCATCAATGGCCACCTTCACAGCCTCTTTGACTTTGCCTGGGGGAGACTTCAAGGAACAAGAGAAAAGCAACATAAACCCTTATTCCTAGACCACCTAGAATGGGTCTGACACGGCCCAGCTCTTCCAAATTAAGTCTCCATACCAGGGAGGAAGCACACTTGAGACAACTCTTCACAAGTGAGGGATGGAAAGTGAATTGCCTTTAGGATGGTGGCCTCATGTCTGAGTTTAGCTAAGAAGCCATTCACTTCTAAATTCAGGTCCACTCTCCAGCTTTAGGGTGTCTCCAGGGGTGTGGAAGACACAGATAGCATCTACTACTACCCTTTATAATGACCAGGCTGAAGACAAGATTCTCAAGTAGCCCAGAGGTACTCTCAGGATAAAAGTGGTCAAGACGGC